TATGCTTGGTACCACAACAGTTCTTGGATTTTTACTTCAAAATGAAAAAGTTAAGCAAGACTTTCAAGCAAAGATAAGCTTTTAAAAAATAAAATAGAATTTGCAGCTTCAGGTACACATTGCTGGTAAGCTCAATTAATTCATGAGGCACACAAGTTTTTTTACGACACCTTACTACAGCTTTAGATGAGCAAATTGGTAGATGCTCTTAATAGAAAAATCAAGAGTGACTGAAGCTTTGTTTCAGCTTCAACTGTTGCAAATGAAAAGAAAACAAAAACAAAAAGAAAAATCCCAGTGTCCATTGCTACTTCGGATCCTACTCCAGAAGGAGCAGAACAAGGAGCTGGGCTTTACCACAATCCATTCTGACTAAATCTAAAACATGGGGGAAGAGGATCAAGAGCATTGAGGTCTGACATCTTTACATAGCCATCATTTGTCACTTTTTCCCCCCTTTCTTTCTGCCAAGTAACTAGATCTAATCCCAATTAAGAGTTAATGAAACACCAGCTTATGTAACATCAAAGACTATTCTCAGCTTTGAAGCCTTAGTTCTACTTTTCATAGCTGTGACAATCTAGGGCTAGAAACTCACTCCACAAACTGTGCTTTCCCAAGAGAAGAAATAGCAATCTTGGAGAAATTTTTACAGAAGCGAGCTATGGAAGAGAGAACCAACACAACTGAAAGTTATTGTAACCATCATAAACTGTATTAAGTGGTCATGAAAACGCACATTTCATTCATATTTTTTCAAGAGTAAAACTTTCAGACCAGCTACAATTTAATTCCCCAAGCAGGTCCTGCTACAAGCACTTTCTAATACAACGAGCACGTTACTTGCGATGTGTAATTCAGTAGCTCACTGACTCTTCAGAGCTAGTACTGAAGCTTCACTGTCCCCAAAATTAGGTTACATTCAAACTTGTTTTGGTAAAAGGAACACTGCTTCATACACAAGTAAAACACTGTGTGGGTAAAGTATAGTGAAATCCTGTATTTCACAATATTTTAACTTGAAACCCAGATGCAGTAAAGTTTCACTTTGCTATGCTAAAAAAAAGCTCTAACCACAATGAAACATGACAAATTTGAAGGTTAAAACACTTAATTCATTGCACCAACAATTTAGAGCTGCAAATGATTATCAAACCCCCAAACCTCACACCCTCCCACTTCAACATGAAAAGTTGGACACATGAAAATAAGAAGCTTAAGTGGAGTACAGTAGTTGCAATTTCTAGTTTTTACTGTGTAAATCAGTTTAAAGCTATTATTCCTAAACATCTAAGCTGACTACTTTGATAGCACCCAAGAACCTTTTAAGGCAGATATTCATACCTACTTAATGCATTTAAATTCAGCACCTCAGCCTCCACCAGAGAGCAATTCAGAGCTCCAGATTCAGACTTTACATCTCCCTGTCGATTACACAGAGTCCTGGTTTGAGCTAAATAGAACTAATTTTCTATTTAGTGATTTTACTTTTCAGCTCAGTCTCTTCTAAGTGGCTGAACTTGCTGAAAACTAGCAGCATGTTTTTCCCAGACAGTGTGTACTGATAATGTTCAAGGCCAATTGTCTCACCATGGGTGCCGTGTCTGCACCTACGGAGGGGGGGGAGAAGCGGACCCAAAACTGACCAACTAGGTATTCCGTCCCACATACGTCATACTTGGTATAAAGCTCAGGCATCAAGAGGGTCTTCTTCCATCTTGGAGCCCTTCCATCTGTCTCAATCCTGCAACAGCCGAAGTCCAAGCAGAACCCTGCTAGTTCATCTGCCTCTGATCTTGATTTGTGTGTTCCTGCATCCTGCTCCCACCTGCTGCTGAGTTCAGTCTGGGACTTTTCCAGTGCCCTGCTCCACAGAGTCTCTGGTGACGTATACATCATCAGAGGGGAGGGTAGGGGAAGGATTTTATATTGGTTTTGTATATATTTGTACATATCTGTATATATTTCATTATTTTCCTATTTACATTATTATCCTGTAGCATTAGTAATTATTGTTTTATTAAACCTGTTAGTTTTATGTTCCAATCCATAAAGTCTCTCTCCCTTATTCTCTTCTCCCTTCTGGGGAGGGGAGGGGAGTTAATAGTGTCTGTCCAGGATTTAGTGGCCAGCCCAGCCCTAAACCACAACACAGTGAGTCTGAAGTTAAACTATGTATGCTCTTTGCTTGTAATCAGTCTCAAAGAGGTTAAGTTCTGATTAAGCATAATGTCCTGAATAAAAACAAGCAAACACCACAGCTCTCACCATCTTCTAGATTTGTGTAACAGTACCTGGAAGCCAAAGGACACTGTGTAGGATGCTCAAGTAACAGCAGAGAATTCCCATTTGCAGAGAGCTTACCACCTAGATAGAAAATATGCACAAAATGAAGTGGGAAATACACAGAGGTGATGTTCTACTACCAATTTTCACAGTTTAAAGGTGCATAAATCCAGGTATTTGACATTAATTCACTTCTCATTTTTACTTCGGACATCAGTACTTTGACTGGGAGAAGAGAAGAGGGATGAAGTCACATTCTTTATGTACTGCAGGCATCCTGCATTGAGATGCTTGAGCAGGCACTGGCCAAATTTTGGCAGTGGGATGAGTCAGAAAGGCACTGAATTAAGAAACAGGAGTTTCTTAAAGTTACCCAAGAGCTGCCAAAAACATTTAAATGAAATATAGGCAAATGAACATTTTGAACGTAGATAAGTTCCCCTGTTCTACTAAGCTGTAGCTGAAACAGTAATGTTGGGAGAGAATATTAGTGGTACTTACAGAAGTCAAAAAAAGCGACTTCTACACAGACTAAGATGGCCTTGCATGCAGGCAGCACCACCAGTCCCCAGATAACATCTGCAGTGTCCTTATATGCTACTTGGAAGTACGTACCAAGAAAGGTTACAGTCAAGGTTATCACAACGTTCAAGGAAAAGCAAGTAATATCGCCAACACCGAATCAACACTTAAAGAAACCCAGTCAGGAGACTCCAGAATTAGGTCACCCGAGTCAAGTTGCAGCCTGCTCATAAACACAATGCAGCCTTTCACCCAGACAAGTCACTCTTATCTAATTGTTTCGCAGGTAAAAGCAAACATCTGTGCTAACAGGATGTAATTTGATTGTGGAAAAAAAAGCAACTGCTTTAATAAACTGGATTTGGAGTAGAAGCCTGGATCATTAAACATGCACAAATCTAGAACCCCTACGGCAGCTGCATAATAAGTAATTTTAACATCTGAACTATCCCTTTCCAGCCACAACATGCAGGACACATATGCCATTTATTTGGGTGGATTAGAATGATTCCTAACCTTCAACAGAAAGTATATACAGCAAGGAATAAAAAGAACAACCACCATGAGAATTACAACTTTTATTAGTGTATTCACATATTAGGCAAATGCAACACGTATGAAGCTTATTTCTTAGGTTCACAAGTTCCACCAATACATTAGTCTACTGGTAAAACTAGCACAAACTGGTAACTGCTTTGCCAATATATTTTTTTAATGTGTCTGACCCACTTTTTCAAGGCTTGATTTTTGGTATTGCTACTATGCCCTAGTCATTATGGCATAAAAATATCCATCGCTATCATCAATTCAGTCAATTGATTAAAAGCTTAACACTGGCCACATTTTAGTTCTCAAAGCTAAGTTATCACTAGCAGTACTTACAAAGTACAGTGCTAGCATAATGGATGAAACAATGGGAAAAACAAAGGCAATCCTGCTACTGCCATGATAACAGAAGAATGACAGACAGCTAGATCACAAGATTGTTAGTAAGATGTATATTTTTAAAGTCAGAATAACCCTTCTATACAGTTTCCCAACCCAGACTTATTTGTAGAATATATATCAGAATATTTTTAATGTGGTGCAGCTGTAGTGTCCAAGGGTTCACAATAACATACACTGTCGCGAAGAATCTAGAAGTCCTCCTTCACTGGTCATACCTCAGTAACCAGTATCCTAGAGGTTTTGCAGAAGCAACTACTTTTAATAACAAGGTCCATTATGACATAATGAATGCATATGATCTGGTATGTAAGCTATACAAAGCCACTCAGAAATTTACATTGTTACTGAAATATGTTAAGAAGCTGCATGTATTTAAAACCTATATGAAAGAAACTAGTTTACCCTGGGAAAAGATTTTTCAAGGTATTTGGCTCCAAAAAGTAAAGAACATTATTTTTTTAGTGACAACTGTTTAATTAAAAAATATAGATGTAAGGGGTAAGCCTCATGTACTTAATCTAGTATCCAATGCTATGGTATATTCACATTCCATGAGAAAACACAGATTTCAAAGATTTAAGGTAAAAAAATTCCCAAATTACATCAGTGCCAGCAATACTGCTGATAACAGATGCATCAACTCAGATGGGTAGGGAAAAGTAGACTCCTAGTGTGATGGATACTCTGAATTTATGAGTTCATTTTAGGCCTGATTAAGCATATAAAGTGTTAAGATTTCACAAATTAGTCTCAAGACATTTATTTCCCTTCCAACAGAGGGATTTTTTTTTTCTTCTTTAAGAAGGCAGCAAAAAGTTAAGCTTTTCTATAAGGAAAGTCTGCTTTTTATGTTTAGGACAACTTGAAAACCTGCTTATATAAGAAATATAAAATAAAGGAGTAGAGTCTTGAAATTTTATGATATATTTGTCCCAAATAAAAAACCAAACAACTACTTATGGGAACTTAAATGTAGAATAGCACAATACTGTGATATTTGAGATCATGATACATTACCTGTACATATACTTAGCTATTCATGTTATTGATAAACCATTAGGACACTCAATTATATACCCAATAAAACCACCATTAAGAGACTTGAGAACTGTCTCTTCTTTCTGTAGAAGGCATTTCTATACACTAAGTTTTCATCTAGTATCAGAGTAAAAGAAACAGAACCCACAAGGTGCTTTAGTTGACGAGACCTCAAGTGCCTTTTTTTTTTTAAAAAAAGACAAACCTTTTCGGATAACAAACAGTTCATGGGGACCACACACAAATACTATGACAGATGTGCTGTTATATTAAGTCTGTTGATTGGACACGGTATTTAGCCCACTGATAAGAGGAAGGAATTTTACGACATGCTGGAGCAGCGTACTGAAGGGGAGCCCATCTGAGTCAATACTTTATCCAACCATTGTAGAGGTCCATTCAGATGAAGTTCAATCCAGCAAGGAGTGCTTGTTACTGTTTGCCGCCTAGAAAATAGGAAAGTCAAAAAGCAGCTTTGGCTGCCATGAAGTTCTCCATCATATGATCAAATATGTTTCCACCCATATGTACTACACAAAGAAAAATCTGCAACCATTGCCCTAACTGTCACTAAGCTTTTTTCAGACAGACTTTGGAAAAAACCTAACCCAGAAACAAACAAAAACAAACCCCTAAACACCCCACATCTATAAGACATCAATATTTATACGCTTATCCTTAATACATCAGTATTCTGGCTCTGAAGAATAAAATAAGAACTGCAACATTTGCATCAAGTGTCACACCAAAAGCCTTACTCCTAAAAAGAAATTCAAAACTGAAGATTGTCCAGCCAATGTGGTGTTCACATCAGATAGTTGTATGCAGCTGTATCTCAACCTTCATGGAGTTTGCATTCATAACTGGGTTTGAAGTTTGTAGACAATTATTGAGAAATACAAAATAGAAACACTTTGCTCTGCACTGTCAGTGTGGGCAAACAGCATTATACTATTGCAATCAAAGTCTGGCTTCCTGGAGGAATTAGCATGATAAATGTGCAAGGAAACTGTGAGATGTTGTCAGAAAGATGACATCAAAACACAGTATGTGGTTACACTGCACTAACTGATGCTATCTCAAAGGAATGTCAAAATTAATCTCTGATTTCCTGTAATCTTACACACCTACATGCATTCTATACTGTAACATCCTCTCGCAAGCAATTTAAGTAAAAATTGTGTTTCCCTTGTGTTCTACATAAACTTGTCTATGATTTTTCACAATAGAAGCCCTTAATTAAACACCATAGAAAAAGCCTCAGTAAAGCTGAAGGCTTGACAACCGTAAAAGCTTCACTCTCACATAACCTTGTTTCAGAGACCTGTTATACAAAACACTTCCTTCTCATCTCCAAAGTAAAAAAAATTGGAATTGGATGTACTCTGCCTGAGAAATCCTGTTATTTCACTGTACCCACTCCAGGCACAGGAGCTTTCCCAAACTAGACTAGCAAGACTACTGTTGCTAAGCCAGTTTTCCTAGTAATTCCAGCTATCCCAAAGTCAAAGCAAGGAGGCATTAAGATTTAAGAGCAGCAGATTAGTTGGACACAAGCTTTTTTGTTTTTAATACTGTCGACACTGCAACCCTTTGCTTTAAGGAAATCTGTTTATATAAACAGAGGTACTGAAAAGGCAGAAAGATTAAATCAGTGGGAGGATAAATCTCAAAAGTTGTCTGTGGTTTTATATTTTCTAGAAGAAAATAGCCAAGGTCTGTGCTTTCACAGCACTCTAAAAAATATTTATCTTAGCTCCAAACACCTATGCCAAAACAAAGTGATCGAATAAAAGATCTAGACCACAGGAAACAATTCCATTTAGTCTCGAATCTTCTTCCAAAGAAGGGAGTTCATTATTCCACTGCTGTCAACTCCCCTGCAACGTGTTCCACAACACACTTCCTCAAAATGTTGAGACTGGTTCTGCTGTTCAACAGCCCTGGCTTTGTACTGCACTGGAAGCGATGATAAAATAATCTAATTACCTCTGATTAACTCTCTTCAGAAGATGATCCTAGACCTAGATAGTTCCTGTGTTAGTGTGAACGCTCATCTGCTGATCTGAACTTCTACCACCATCCTCAATTCAAATCAACTTGTCTCAAACAAAAAGCTGCAACCTATTTTGCCTACCAACCTTACAAAATCTACCACCTTGCCATAGCAGCATGTTTATGGGCATATGTCATATGCCCAAAGTGTACATAATACTTTGGCTTTGCCAAAACCTGATCTATGAGAAATGTTTGATGTAATAATGAAGCACGAGAGTTTTAATGAGACCAATAGATTTTTTCAGAGCTTCCTTGTCTAATTTTGACAATTCAAACTACCTTCATTTAGATTCAAGTTTGTGTTTGCAGGAACAACCTCTTCTCGCTTTAATTACAACTGCAGCAAAACTTACAAGTTTTGTGCGCATCAATAATTTACTAGTGCCATTTGAAATAGACGCGAAGAAACTAGTACAGCATTATGTCAGTTATCAGTTTCTGTGCTGTTCTGGCAGAGTTTCCACTGAAGTTTTTTCAGCCCTATGATCTCTGAAGGGTTTTTACAGACTACAAACCACCAACATTCTCCCTTCTTAGAAATAACTTTACCAAAAGCCTCTCAACTGTTTTAACCCAGCACTTCCACTCCATTCACTTCAAGCTGTCTCCACATAATCTGATTAAGACTTCTCTTCTGATTTAAGTGTTGTATTTAGTTACGCACAAGTGTAAACAAACTCCTTTTGAGCCAAATCTAATAGTTCTTTAAACCTGAGCCAGATTCTTTCTTGTGTACCTCTTGCTAACAAAGCAGTACCAATTTATTCTATTACTCAAATTTCTCATTTAATCTAATTAGGCTTTTACAAAATTGGCTTCATTTAGCTGACAAGCTTCCCCCATGTACTGACGCTATTATTTACATGTATATATTTCAAGAGCAGATAAAAGAATCAAAATCCCATTATGCGCAGTTCTACATGCCATTATTCAACTTCAGAAATACGGATTTTTTAAAAAACTCAGTATGTATTGCAATAGGGTATTGGTATGTCAGACTTCTATTGTTTCAGTGGACGATTTCTAGAGAAGCTTATAGGATTTGTTTAAAACCACATCTCTAGCTCTCCAAAATAATGAAATCTTTAATACTGCTCAGTTAGAAGTCAATTCCTTTTCTTCCCAAATTCCCACACTACATTAAAAACAGTCACTATCCTCAACTATAGTTCTTAGCTTGTGCTAAGTAGAGAATACAATTGGAATCTATTCAAAAGTAGATAAAAGACTATTTTTTCCACTCAAAAAATTGGTTTTAGTAGTTTTACTACATAAAGTCATCTTACTCCTGCAAAGTTTTTTCTACTATAAGTTCCAAAATATTGCCATCTCTTAAATGTGTATTCTGCAGCTGTTTTATTCTCCATCTCTTTCTATCAGGTATTATCAACTGCATCCCACATCACAACCTAACAAACTCATTATATTCCACATGGAACATGACAGACCAAAACGACTAAATTTAAAGAAAAGGTTGTTTTTGGTTTTGGTTGTTTTTTTTTTTTACCTGTATTCAGCTCCCCATCCTTTAACGAAACTCATTCTTATGGTACACATTCTAGTAAGCTGATAAACTGCTTCAAAACCCTGATTCACAGATTGAGCCAGAAGAGCAGCAAATTCCTGATTATTAAAGATTTTTAGATTGCATCCTATAAAGAAAAAAAGTCAGAAGGGTACAATCAATGAATACTTGTTTGCTACACAAAAGCCCAGAAGTACAAGGAAACTATCAAAAGGAAAGCAAATGTCATCCAGTGACTACACTCACTGGATATTTTTATGCAAGACTTTTGGTAGGCTACCAACCTGGAGGAATTTTGCACACAGTTGCAGGATGCCAGCCATATCTTTGATTACAGTTGGGGCTCTGAACAAAAATCGCACTATCGCTTAGGCACTCAGCAAAAACTTCTCCACCAATGTAATAGAGACGTACTCCTCTTCCTGTAGAAAAATTCAAAGTAACTCTACTTATGATATGACCCAAGCAAATTAACAAACAAGGGAGTATTTTGTTTCAGTGAAGACCAAAGGTTTTTTTCTACAACAGAAACAGAAATCTATCTACAGGACCACATTGCTGGGCTGACAGCTACAGCAGGAGCAGAAGACAATTAACTTGCTTTTTTCTCCCACAAACACACAGTATTTGAAGGAGAAGCAGGATAATTTTTGATGAAGAACGAGACAAAATTTTCTAGCCATGTAATAGCTTATAACCAAATTCAAGTTAGGAGGCAATGTTCAATTACCAAATAACTTTTTCACTTAAAAAAATACCAAACTTGAAATAAAAATATTAGCTTCAACATAATTAAAACTTGTGCTGATATTAGTGTTTTATGTGAAGTGACACAGCCCACTACAGCAAAAAAGGAGAACACAAGTATACTGCTTCAACTCTTTCCACTTACATGCGCCCAGTTAAACAACCCACTGCATTGCCCCTTCTCTGTACTACTTGGACAAAAACAACAGGACTTCATTTAGCCCTAACTACAATAAAATACCCATAGAAATCCTATTGTTCATTTCGAAATTGTGATCTTGTTCTCCGAGTTGAAAAAAAACCAACAAACTGTATTGGTTATTTCTAGCAGAAGAGAATTAATGTACAATTGATCTCCCAACAAAAGCTATTTATAGGTATAGGTACTTTAAAGGCCATAATTTCTCTTCCCCTTTCTCTTTACAAATTTTTTCTCTAACTGTGAGCTGTTCTATAAAAGTGACTGCTCCTTACATTTGTTTTTGATGTTTTCCTCATCATTGACCATTTTGATCAGTCAGCATAGGCATAGCCTGGGTTTCTGCACATATACAATTTTATTAGACAAGCATTTGTATTTGGCATAGGAGTCAGAAGGTTTGAACTTTAAGTTCCAAGGTTCTTTTTCAGCTAAAAAGTTCAACTAAAGAGGCTGAACTTTTAGTAAAAAAGTAAAAAACAAAACAAAATTTGTGAATGTTTTCAAATAAGCGTCCAGAAAAAATAGAAGTTTATCGAAAAATTCAACAAGTCCTACCAATGTCAACTCTGCATTTTATAAATCAGAATAAACTAAGCAACATGTTAATATTTTGTAATTAAAAAATTATAAGCATCTCTGAATATAAATGCTGCCCAGGGCAGAGTGATCCAACAAGCCTGAAAGCCAAAAACCTGCCCCTTGGGATGCTTTGGTGCATTGCCTTTTTCCAGAAGGCAGAGAACAGCTCCAGCCATCACTGCGTCTCTTCCCAACTACAACTGGCTGTGGTAGCAGAAGCTGCTCCATCTCTCCCCAGTTTCAGAAGCAATGACCTCCGTGTCCTTCTACTTCTGTCCTTAACAAGAGACTAAGGTCTCCTTAGCAAACCTTGAGAGAAGTTCAATAGCTGGTTGCACAAAGGTAAAAGGATACCAAAACATAGATCTGCCCATCCTACCTGGATCACTCCTGATCATTTAATAGCCATAATGAAATTAATTAAAAGATCAGAGATTTTTACCTATATGTCGCCTTGTCATTTCCACTGTAGCATTTCTGTTTACATTGGAAAGCAGACCTAGGCAAAACCGTTCTGAATTTGATGGATCTGTAAAGCCATCTACGGTCAGGGAAGGCTGTGATGCATGGAAGGTTTCTCCCACTCTTTGATTCAATTCATAATATGCTATTGAACACCAAAACGCAGGCTCTGAGTAAGTAACTGGTTGCAAGTCTAAAAAAAATTAAAAAATAAGCTTAACAGAATTTGAGGCTAAAAAGAAATCTATCTCCCCTGCTATTCATCTCTTCCAGGAATGACAGCATTAGACTCTGCAAACTACTCAAATTATATTTTTGCTTGCTGTCATTTTTACCTACCTCATTAAACAGAATGGAATTCAATTTACCACACAAGGAAAGGAGGAGGGGAAGGAGTGATCTAATCTAACCACAGCTCATGGAGTTCAGTACTTGCATTTTGCTCGGCAAAAAAAAAATATAAAAAAATGTTCTTTTGTATTACACTGTATCTTATAATCTTTATGTCAAGATAAAGCTCCTTTTACCCACAGCAATGGCACCCAATCAAAGCAGGTAGGCAACTCATGTGGGAACAACAATTGTATTGTGGTCACAGGTGAAACAGAACATGAGAAGAGCAGCATCCATACAACAGCAAGTCTGGGCACCACTATGGTTAAGCTAATATCCTATAATCTACTTTATTAATGCTATTCCTACACACCAAAGCATATTATTCTCTTTACTAGAAGCTCAATAATTATAAAAACAGAGTAGCTATTAACACAGCAGTATTATGGGAAGCCAACCCAACC